CCATGGTTTCTCTGGTGCTGATTTGGGCTTCGTCACACAACGGGCTGTCAAACTCGCTATCAAGGAGTCGATTGCCGCAGACATTGAAAGACAGAAGGAACGTGAGGCCGCTGGTGAGGATGCCATGGACGCCGACGAAGGCGAGGATCCCGTCCCAGAGCTGACCCGACGACACTTTGAAGAGGCTATGCAAGCTGCCCGGCGGTCCGTTAGCGATGTGGAGATTCGCCGCTATGAAGCCTTTGCACAAGCCATGAAACAGAGCGGTGGCAGTGCTTTCTTCAAATTCCCTTCTGCTGGTCAAGAAGCCGATGCCGCCAACGGTACTGGCTTTGGTGATGCTGGCAATGATGACAGCTTGTACGACTAAGGTGATGGTGGTGGCGGCACTTGCGACAAAACTCATCCACACTGAGTTGGGGGCCTGGGTGGAAAGCACGATTCTGCAGAGATACGAGGCGCAAAGAAAGTGAACGGCGTCAAGAACCATACCGACATGTGGCTCACCGAACGCATGGACATGGCAGGGGAAAGGGTGTTCTTGATGGCCGTGCTTGAAGTATGTCCCATCGGATTCATCGACTGGCCTGGCAAATTTGTATTCTACCTTCTACCTAGACAGATGAGATTGCATGCAAAATAATAGAATGGCTGACTGAGGAGCCGTGGGGTTATTATAGGTGATCGGTCCTGCCTTGTTATATGAAGCCTTTTTCTTTTAATGCAGCCTGATGCACATCAACTAAGCCTTGTGCATGATGATGTAAACACCCAACGGCCGTTCCGGGGATGCCGCTTTTGGGTGGCTGTGGGTGGCTCCCTGATTTCTCGCCCTCCACCAGCCTGTCAATCCATCTAATTTCCCGCCCTTTGCTGCCATCTCAATTCCTTTTCTCTCGCGCGACTTTTGTCGACGGTAACGATAGTATCTCTTTGGGTTCCTTCCTAGTATTTGCATTGACTATGGCGAATTATGGCATCTCCGCGCGCCTCTTGCGCCTGGGCCGTCCAAAGGTATGCCAACAGTGTCGAAACCTCGAGTTCCTTCAATCCATGCTGACTTGTTCTGCACAGCGCTTCTTCTACACGATGACGCTCTCGACGGGCGCCAGTCTCATTACCCTCTCGATGCTGGTCAATAAACTCGCTGGCCTCTATGGCATTCTTGCGCTCTTCACGGGATACCACCTATCGCCCTTCCAACTGTCCATGTACATCTACTCGACCGTCGCACTCGTCCTTACTGCCTACCTTGCACGACATATCCGAAAACAATCGCCGCTGCAGTGCCTTGCGCTGGCTTGGTTTTACGTCTTGGACAGTATCGTTAACGCCGCATATACCGCCGTCTTCGCTGCGACATGGTTCTTGGTGCTGGCACAGCATGACGCAGGGAAGACGGACAAGAAAGGACCAGGCGCATCGACTATGGATCAAGTATCGGGATTCACGGATCCACAACTCAATGTCTCGAGAGTAGAAGTCGTTGCCACACCCCAGCCTCCCATGACGGGTGGTGGTCAGGACGCTGTCGCCGCTGGAGTACCTGCCACCAACGCTGCGGGCAGCGGAAGCAACGGCGCCCTGCAATCGGCAGTCTTGGACTCGCAAAACATGAATTCCGTGGGTGTTATTATTGCCATGTGGACCATCCGGGCTTATTTCTGCTTGATCATGCTGGCTTTCGCCCGCATGGTCATCCGACAACATATTGCCTCGAGCGGATCTAAACTGGGCGTCGATTATACCACCGCATCAATAAACTCCCAATTAGCAGAGAATCCGTTCTCTGAGAGCAGACCAGAGGGAAAGGGTTGGGGAGGCAAACTTGGTCGCTTTATGGTTGGCATTGGCCGAAGTTACTGGCTGGGCAGTGACGAAGATGATAGCTGGATGAACGGCATGGGTGGGAAATTCCGAAAGAGTGGTGTTGCTGGCGACGAAAACGGGTTCATGCTCAGTAAAATTGAGAGTGGACCTACGGAGAGGGAAAGGAGAAGACGATCGGGAACGGGACCGCCAGCACCGGCCCCAGGTGTTGTGCCTGGTGTCGCTACGGTGGAGGGAGACAAGATGACTTTGCAAATTCCTCCGCAGAACAACTGATCCTTATACCGGTACTTAACCTGGGTCAGATCTGAAAGAGAAGGGGTTCTACAGCTTGATGAAGAGAGTGGTGGTCGTAAGGGCGACCGAGGAGAAAGGGTACACTCAACACATTGTATACAAATGGTCCGCGGGCGTTTACCATGAGGGACGGTGTTTGGCTGGCAGAACAACACATGTCGGGATGATTCCAACCTGATGGAGGGACGTGTGGAATGTATATCTATACCGAGTAGATCTAATGATGTCGAGTGCGTATACGGAATCATGGCTCGAACAGCCTGTTGCCAGGAGTGCATTTAGAGCATTTGCCTTGGGGCATCTTCTTTTTAAATCTGTTTATCACGATAAAGCTACATGAAAGTACACAGGGAACAAGGACGGACCATTGGTAGGTTTACAGGTGCAGGAGGTGGAATAGACCATGGTTGTAGAGGTAGGATGGGTGGTAGGGTACTTGGTGTATATCAGAGCTACAAGGTGGTGACCAGGCGTGTGTCATTTGAACGTCAATTTCCTATTTCCCTGGCGGGCTGATACTGTCATTTGAATTGATATCCCAGCGCTACTAGGAAGGACTTCCTCGCATATCGTCTCATTATTCCTCCCTGACATCATCCGTGTTTTCTCTATCTGATCCCTGTCCAGAACCGCGACATCCCTATCGAGAGTCCTCTGCCCCATCAGGACCACAGCCGAAGTAATCATGCCTGCCAGCTACGACATTGGCTGCGATGCCTTAATTCTACTCAACAAACCCTACGAATTTCACCAGTCTCCCTGATAGAAGGAGCCTAATCTCCCAGAACATACAAGAAGCACTCTCGGCAAAGCTCTGCACATAGAAGTGCCATCTGTACTGTCATATCTACAGTTTCTCGTCGGAGATGACCACTTTAAAGACATGCCTGCCATCTTTCGCCTTGACTTCATGGACGGTCTCAAACGCCTCCAGACTCTGCTCAAAGGGAAAGACGTGGCTGATCAGTGACTTCGCATCGACAAGGCCTCTGTCAATCAACGATATGGCGTCTTCGAAACAGTTGGTACTATATCTCCAGGTTCCTGTGATCGTTTTTGTCAGAGCCAAATAATGGTGGTGCGTCGGGTCTGGAAGCCTCACCTCGCACGTTGAGCTGCTTGGAGCAAATGTCCATTATTGGAAGTCGAGGAAATTGGCCGTTGAGCAGTCCAACTTGGACGTCTATCAGAACACACCTCAGGTTAGTCTGGCAACACTTTTGGAAGTGGTTTCCATCTTGAAGACGCTCACAAGTCCCTCCAGGTCTACAGACGTGGAGTCCGATCTGCATGCACTCTTCGGCGCCTGCAGCTTCCACCACAACGTCAAACCCACGGTGGAGCCCATCCACAGAGCTTAGGATGTCTTTGGCAACTCTGCTGGAATACTCTTCTGTCGTCTCGTTAGGGCGGCGCGGCGGGTTGACAAATGCCTGATCCGCGCAATATGTCTTTGCGAATTCCGCCCGGTGAGGTTGTACCTCAAAGACGACTACTTTTTTTGCGGCATACCTTCAAGACTGTGGTCAGCATGCACACCAAGTACGGATAGCCTGGTCAGGACTCACGCTTTGGCGATTGCTCCCAGCAGCAACCCGATACAGCCACCCCCGAGGACCAACACAGTTTGGTTCGCCTTCAGTCCAGCTTGTCGAGTCATCTGGATAGCGATGGCAAAAGGCTGTATCGCACCAGCCTCGACCCATGAGATTTTGGGCGTCAGGCGAGCCAGTGCGGTAACCGGGACAATCTTGTAGTTGGTGAGCAAACCATCTTGCCGCCCGGGTCCCGGTACTCCGTAATACTCTATCGAGCTACAGATGTTGGAAAAGCCGGTCGTACACTCTTCGCAACTGATCACATTTCAGTACCGTGGCCAAGGTCTTATTCAGGACACTCTTACGCCAAACAGGGAAGAGCCGGTTTGATCGCGGCACGATCACCAGGTGCCCACGATTTGACATCATCAGCGACCTGAATGACTTCCCCAGCAGCTTCATGCCCGATGATGAAAGGTTCTTCGATGATATCAGGGCCTGCCCGGCCCTCTTTCCAGAAGTGGATCTATAAATCTCGGTCAACATTTCGCTTAGCTCTATCAAATACTGCGCACGGGTACTTACATCTGAGCCACAGATTCCCGCAGCGCGAATCCGGACAAGGGCTTTACCACTCGGTAGTGGTGAACCGGCAACGTATATCGGGCTATCCCGGTACGAATCCAGCTTCACAGGCCAGTCTTGAACGGTGATATCATTGATCCCTGCAATGACCACAGCACGGTTCTTGCTTATGTCCGCCTTGACCGGAATGGAGCCACCATTGCTTGTCGCTGAGGGAGCCATTGTGGTCAGAAGCAAATGTCCCAGGAGATGGAGGAATGATGGTGCTGGAAAAGCCGCTGGTGTGTGAACTATTTAGCGAGCAAGGACGTGTCGCTAGTGCAGGAACCTTGTCTACAAATTCGCGAGGGCCTGTAGTTTTCGAAAGATTGGGTTTCGACTCTGACAGCAGCGAAGGGCGAGGCTGAAGTATTCGCGAAGTTGCCGGACGGCGTTAGCGCTCAACGGGAGCGGGGAAGAAATGACACAAAAGAGGAAAAGGGGTTGGAGACTCATGCTTGACCTCGGGAGACTGCGTTGTAACGACGATACTTATGACTCTTTAACTCTCGGTAGGGCTATGGCACATGGGTACAGTATGGGTCTTGCTGCCAATGCGGTTGGATGTCCGAGCGCAATCGGACCTTGCCACCTCGATGTTGACTCCCCTCGGCTCTCCCGCTGAGTATTTGACACAGGAGTCAGGAAGGATAGCCATCTTGGTAACTACCAACACTACAACTGCTTCGAATCTGCTACCTGCCTAGAAAAATGGGAGGAGTCAAGAAGTTTCTCGATGCTTGCCAATCAGGCGTCGCTTGTTGTACGACACCTTGGGACTATCCGACCGCCTTGCTGTGCGAGAAAGCGGGTATGGACCTAGTCTTGGTGGGCGACAGCCTCGCAATCGTGGCACTGGGCCACGACGCGACGAACTATGCGACGCTGGACGAGATGATCTATCATTGCAAGGCTGTGGCACGGGGCGCAAAGTCCCCCTTGTTGCTGGGCGATATGCCCATGGGCTCATATGAGATCTCGGATGAACAAGGTGAGCGTCGACATAACCAACTCTGCGTTCCATCTTGGAAGAGGCCGCAGTGCTGTGCGGCTACATGTGTCGTTCCATGAGCTCTGCCTCAGAAAGCACCCATTCAGCAGCGACAAATGCCATCAGATTGGTCAAAGAAGGCCGGTGCGATGCCATCAAGTTGGAAGGCGTCGCGAGTCAAGGCGATCGTGAAAGCGGGTGTGCATGTCATCGGACACATTGGCCTGACCCCCCAGACGAACACCTCGGGCGCGAGTGCCTATGGGATCACAGCAGAGGAGAGTGAGAATACCCTGAGAGATGCATTGGCTCTACAAGACGCTGGAACCTTTGCGGTGGTGGTGGAAGCGGTGGCAGGACTGGGGGCCGAGTGGATCACGTCGAACCTGAAGATTCCGACGATTGGGATTGGGTAAGTAGAGCTTGGGGGGTTTTTCATCTTCTTGTGATTTCCGATCCAGTCTACTCGTCCAAACCGCTGTTGTAGGACTGACTGGTTGACCACATCGCCTTCTCTTAGATGCGGCCCGAATAGTTCTGCCCAGATTGGCGTCCAGTCGGAGCTGTTGGGTTACGAAAACTCGCTTTTTGCCGCCATGGGAGTATTCTTTCTCTCTGTGTCTGTCTATCTAAGAGAGACACAATCTCATAGGGAAGAGTGATACGGCCAGAGTGCTAATGACTACCCGTCCCTCCAGATGGCACAAGAAATACGCCACCGTGGGCGAGACGTCGATCCGAGGCCCTGAAACAGTACAAACGGGACGTGTCGGCGCGCTCGTTCCCAGAAGCAAAGCGTGTAAGCCACGCCACGCCACGCCACGTCTCTCCTATACAGTCTATACATGCCAATCCAAATTCTAATCCCCTCGCTCGCTTGCTTGTAGATCTATCTATCTATCCACCCACCTCATGGCCTTTAAGCCTGGCGATCCATTGCGCGAGATACATTTTTGAGATATGCTGACACGATTGGACGATCCCAAACTTGCAGGGGTATGACATGCCTCCCGAGGAGGTTGCGAAGATGAAGGCCCCCCAAATCTAGCTGCCCAGCTTTGTCATTTTCGCTCCCTCTCGGTAACCAGTCGCTAGTAACCTATGAGTATCTAATTTATAGCCCGCTACGTCGCTGGTTTTGTTGTTCACGCGAAATGCACAGTCACTCGTACAAGGACAAGGACATGAGCTTTGAACAGGAACAGGACGGGACAAACAGTATTGGGTAGTTGGTCCCCAAAGCCGGCAGTGGCATGTAGTGGCACAGTACGAGGAACGATGAGATGATTTCTTGAGATTCTGAGAGATCAGCGCCGGATTTATATTATTCATATACCGTTTCCCTTCTGGTGAACTGACTAACTAACCGACTCTCCATCAGAGCGTGGAATGTAAAGAGGAGTGAATGAATATTCATCGAGACCATCTCGCCGGATTGTGTGTAAAAGTCTCGCTATACTATGCCGCTTGAAATGTAATAAAAAACCATTCACGCTTGGCCCGTATTGTATCCCTGCATACTGCATCCCTGTTACCCTGATGCTATGCTGCACTCCCTCGCTCAGCTATAACTATCTAGCCATCTAACCCCCTTGTCCCTCATGTCTCGTGCGTGTTCTTGTTCTCGGGTCTAATTTCCATGTTCAAGATCCTTTCGAAATCACTTGCCACACCAACCAAGAGACATTTTCACTTGGTGCTTGTCTACTGGGCAACTTCCCCACTGGCGTAAATTCCCACTCGTAGCCCCACTGATCCATGTCTTCGTGACTCGATTCGTCTCGTCTCGTCTCGTCTCGTTGCGCATTAGTGCTCTGCTCTGCTCTGCTGCTCTGCTCTATCGGTCCTGTTGTCTCCCGGGTCATACTTCCAAAGTCGGTCCTGGGCGTTGTTCAAGGGTTCAGGACCTCGTCACCCATGCGCTTTTTATAAGAAAGGGCGTCAACACGTTCGGAGAGGGTCCGTTACTGCAGCCGTCCTTCTGGAGAAGTTTGACTAGATCTTGTCGTCGAGGCGCGCGCCTTGGTCCGGCAGCTCTTGAACGGGCTTGTGAGCGCGGAGACACCAGAAGACGCAGTCCTCGAGGGGCAGGAGATTCTTCATAAAGTGGTTGTAGCGTAGGGCGAAGAAGCAGATCATGCCGCCCGCCACGGCGTCCAGGATGAAGTGGTTCGCGGTCGCGATGATGGCGATCAAGATTGAGAATGGATACAAAAAGCCGATGATCTCGCAGAGGAGCTTGGGCAGAGAAGGGATCCGGAGGACAACGCCGGTGCGGTCGGACTTGACGAGTGGTACGGCGGGAGTGGAGATCCTATATCGTTTGGTCGTGGGAGCGAGGGGAAGGCGCATGACAGAGACGCCCACCAGTAGCGAGTATCCAAAATGAAGTGAGGGCATTGCGGCTAGACATAGAATCTCAGCGTTCTTCCTGGATACTTACCACATGATGCACCTCCTACCTAGCTGGTTGGTCCATTTCCTCGTGTTGAAGACGCTGACAGCTCCGTCGCGTGCGTGCACCGTATCCACAAAGGCAAAGCTTCGCGCCAGCTCACCGGGCTCACCAGGCAATTTCGAGTCTGGTAACAGACGGGGAGGCATGCATGGCCAAGTGCTGAAGACACAAAACGCAAAGAGGTTGCACAGCGCCAGCGCCCGACGCCGAGATTCGTAAAGTTCGGGACCGTTGGAGCTGACGGCATGATCAGACCAGTTTGAATTGACCGTAGATCGATTGCGCGTGATGGCAAAATAGTATAAGCCCACTAGGAAAGTGATCGTCGCAGGAAGATGGATAAAACTGTAGATCCGGTTGATCCACCACATCAACCCGGGATACTGGAGGAAAAACTTCTGGATGCTCAGTTCCCAGAATATGTGGAGCCGCTGTTCTAGTTGGATGACGGCCAGGGCATGATGACAAGCTATATCGACGGTCTGGTCGACGAATCTGACAGCCAACTGGCCCCGACCAAACTGGTAGACCTATAAAACGCATTAGTCGCCTGCGTAGTACCAGGGAGTGTCTTCGACTTAACGCCGTAAATGAGGCCCCAGTAAACGACCTCGATTAAGAAAGGAAAGCGCAAAAGCACTCTGCTGAATATTCTGTCTCGGAAGACAGCCGTGTTCGGTGTCTGGATTGTCGTCTTTAACCCGAGTAAGGACAATTCTCTTGGACGCCACCGTTCAGCGTTGCGTATTGGCAGTGATGCGTCTCCGGTACGTGTCGAATCTAGAGCCTCGAGCCCCATCTCATGACCGACATCTTCGACGAGGACGATGTCAGACTCTCGAGTTGGTCGTGCAATAGGGGTGGTAAAGTCACGGTTGATCCATGCTCCAAGGAAAATGATAAGAGTCCCCCAGGATGGCTCGCCCAGGCCCAGGAATCCCATTATGTACCTGTGCAAGCTTCGCCGTGCCAGATAGAGTTGCGCACATTGACCGTCTTCGTCCAAAGGCCGGGAAAGTATGGGTCTGGCCTCTGAGTCGTTGCGATCGCCCACGTCCAAGACGGTTCGAAGAGACTCGTCAATGAGGTTTCCGGTAACTGCCCAATTCGTGTACGATTAATTAGCACCTCCAAGGGTATCCTCAGATCCCTGCTCTTGTTTGATTGGATAGGCTACCCAGGGGTTCGCTCCGCCAGCTATTGGCCACCTGACCGCTGAAGAATTGTGAACGGCAATAAATGATGCAAAAGACAGGTAGGACAAAGGTGGTGAGCAGAAGGACAAGATCTGTGCGCAACCACCAAACAACAAACAGAATCAATTTGACCGACTTAACGCAGGTGCTCGATAGGCGCCCCTCATGACGGAGGTGCCGGAAACACAGACACTTTTGAGTTTGTGAGAGTGGCCTCATCACTCTGGTACATTTGGACAAGCGAGGCTCCACGAGAAATGCAGATGGGCATCCTCGGGCACGCGACACAAGCCCAAAGGCGATAAGACTTTGTCCATGTCGACGGAATTGCAAGGCTCCGTATGGGCATGGAGCATCCGAGTAAGGCTCGACGATCCACACCACGTCATCTACATCCCAGGACGTCCGACTGGATGACAGCCGTGGAGCAATTGACAGCAGGGGGCCTCAAAGTCAGGAAGACGGGAATGTGGGATGTGCGGTATCCGAGATACGAAGGGATTGGTTGAGGATGGGAGCAAAGGTTGGACAATGATCAGGTTGTGGTGGTGATGGAGGGGGAATTATGCATTCGTGGCACTGCATGATGCGCAGTTGGCCTATTGCCAGATGTGGCCTAGTGTCGTCAAGACGCCAAGACGCCAATCATCTCAGAAGCATCGACTCCGCAAACCTCGAACGCCTCTTTTCACGTCCCGATTGTGTCTCTCTCCTCATTCCACACCATCTCAGTAGCTGTCAAATGACTTTGAGCGCGTTCCTCGAACTCTGTAGACACGAGCTTGCTGCAACTGCTTCCTCTCAAAACTGCCTCTGTTGCCACTTGCCAAAAGCTTCGTCGAGTCGCACCTGGGACTTGTCCTGCGCCATCGATCAACTCCGACTCGCTGCAGAAGACGGCTGCTCTCGATGCTCCCTCCTAGCCAAGTGCATTGCGTGCTACGACCCTAGTATTCTCGCTCGTGACGGTTCTTTAGACGGAACGTGGGATTTCTGGTTCGATTTGACATTGGACGGGGAAGGAGACCAGTCGGACGACAATCTTCAACTTGACATTTTCACCCCTGGCTGTGAGTACTGTTCCAGCTCCGAGAGTGGAACGTTCTCACGAGCTCTTGGCTGAGTAAATGCCGTGATGCTCGTTCCGAGAGACTAACGCACCAGGTATAACTAGCGGAACCTAGAAAACACCCAGGTTCAAACAAAACAAGACATCTACTTCCAGGAGATACGTCCTCGGCTGCGAGCTTTGACACGATCAGGGCCTGGATGACAGACTGTCTAACCAACCATCCAAATTGTCCCAAACCCTACGTCGGCAATAGTAGTCATGCCTCACGCCTCCCACGCCGACTATTGGAGGTCACGAACGGCAAAGTAGTGCTCCGTGAAGAAAGTGTGCACAAGAGACACCCATACGCATGCCTGAGCCACTGTTGGGGCCCGTCCCCTCGGCGTCCGGAGAGTACTATTCTCAAAGCAAAACGGACTACGATAGAACAATTCAAGGTGGAAGTGCCGTGGGCAGAACTCACTAAAACGTTTCAAGATGCCATAGACATCTGTCGCCGGCTACACATTGATTTTTTATGGATTGATTCCCTCTGCATTCTTCAAGACAGCAGTGATGATTGGTCTCTGAACGCCACAGAGGTCGGTTCCATCTACGAAAACGCTCTGATCACCATTGCTGCTTCGAAATCCAAGGAAGGCTGCCAAGGTTGCTACAGTCGCACTGATGCCCGTCACCTTGCGCGTTTGG